TTGTGGTTTACCGAAAAACATCATACTTGCTCAGCTTGACAGTATTCCGCCGTCAAGCANGCAAATCCTGGATCCAGTTTTTGTTATAAAGATTGCTGTTCAGTGATTTGTTTAACTCATAGTTTGAACTCAAGCACAATACTCGACCCGTCCCACCAAGCCACGTGGTACTTGGCATGGATACCGCCAGTCGAATACCTGCACTCGGCTTACATATTCAGCTGCTGTCGACCTTTTCTGTGGCTTGAATCAGGACTGGACGAAATGCATTGTGTAAAACACGTTGCGCTCCCATTTTATCTTTTTGTTGCGCTGTGAATACGAACAACAATCACATCTTTGGCTTGGTCATTAGGAAGCCCAACAGAACCTGGCTTCATATTCGACCGAGTTTGCCGTGACTAAGGAACCTCTGGAATTCCAGTATTGGAGGACATTTCTACAATTAATGCGTTTGTTTGTGACCCGAAGTTGTTTGCGAACAGCTGAATATGATCAAGGATCAGCTTTATGATTGCAGGAGTACCTCCTAATATAATGATATTATCTGCAAACTGTAGATGTGAAGCGGCCCTATTCTCGTGTAAGGATAGCAGCATCGACTTGCTCCCAGATGGTAGACTGCCTGGAATATGCAGGCGACATTGTACTGATCAGAGAAGATTCAGGTGAGTTGCTAGTGTAGCCATGTTTGATTTACGTTTTGCACCTTCAAAGTGCGAAATGTTGCTGCAAGACTGGGTTAATCGAGCACTCAGCCTCACTCTAACTGGGGAAGTAATAGAGCAAGTGGATAAGTTTTGTTATTTGGACAGCTACATCTCACTCGGTGGACACTTCACGGACGAAGTGTCAGCTCGCATGCAGAAGGCTCGGTTGACATTTGCCAACCTGAGACATAATTGGCGACTCCGCGACATCCGGCTGTCTGTGCAGGGTCGAGTATGTGCTGCCGCAGTTCGGTCAGTTCTTCTAGACTGCGCAGAAACTTGACCATTAAGAAAACAAGCTAAGATAGGCTGTTGGTATTTGAACACCGCTTTCCACGCAGAATTGCACGAGTCCGATGGGGTAACCGGACGGGCAAAATTTTAGGTAACCGCAGTTGACCTCCATGAATTACTTTGGTTGGAGCATGTGTTACACATTGTCATCAACTAGGTTGCCACGGCAAGCGATGTTTGCCGAAGCATATAGCGGGTGTATAAAAGCCGAGGGTGGTCAAACTAAAAATTGGCATGAGGGAACCAAAACCCTAACCAGGGAGACTCGGTCACAAAAGTCCCGTCAGGCTCACTGGTTGTTGGACTTCGGGGTCATTGTAATCAATGGTTATAGACCCTGAGTGATATGGCCGATCGTCCTAAAGAGTGGCGCTCGCGCATCTCGATTTCTTTGCAACCTTAGTCCACTGAAATTCTCTATTTGCTCTACTTTCCTCTTTCCTATCCTTTTGTTTTTGCTACTGCTTCATCCAAATGAGAAGCCAAAAGAAAGCAATCAAAACCGGCACATGAAAGTGCGTGGTTAATGGTTGTACAAAATTCACTGAAAATGGATACGAAATGCACGCGCGTTTAGATTCGGATAAACACGACGGTATTCGAGTAGATAACGTTATTGTCCAATTGTGTGCGTAATTAAATAATTCCCCATGGGCGGACAGCCTCATCGTTTTCCCAAATTGAGTATGAATTCCGGTGATGTTTTGTCGATGTTCCATCTTTCCAAAGTGCGTCTGCATTGATTGTATTAGAGATAGTATGCTGTGCTATTTTTTTTAGCATTGAGGCTTCCAATTTTCTACCTTGAAATTCCATCCACAGGGAGGGCACAGGGACGTTGCTTGTCGGGTATGTCTTACCTGAGATGAACGCTCATTCATAAATCCCTTAAACGCCAGCTCACCATGAGTCTGAGGAATGATCGCGAGAAGTGGTGGATAGGAAAGTGTAGAGAGATGGAGAAAACTGCAGTCATTGGTAATAGTCACAATCTTTTCCGATTAATTAAAAGCACAGGACCAAGGAAATAAGCCTAACTGAGGTAATTAAGGGGTGTAACGGTACATTGATTCAAATTCAGCAACGCCGTCTAGACCGATGGGTAGAACGTTTTAGGGCTTAGTTCAGATGACCCTCGTGAGCACAAGACCTCCCTATACCCGGTTCAACTGTGGAAATATTCAGTCCTCTGAAATGGAGGTTACCCGAGAAATAAGTTATCTCAAAAGGTATAAGGCTTCCGGCCCCAACGGGCTGTCCTCATCAGTTTTTAAGGATGGAGGTTTAGCATTGGTTTTGGAGTTAACGAAACTCCTGGGCTTAATGTGGGATAACGAAGAGGTTCCAACTGAATGGTGTGAATCGGTCATCATACCGATTTACTAGAAGGGCGACAGGTCCTCCTGTGAAAACCACAGCAATTAGGTTGATCAACTTTACTTCTAAACTTCTCGCCGGTATCATATCCGTCGATTGTCTTCCGCACGTGAACGGTGTTCGCTGGTTTTATCCCTGGTCGAGGCAGTATCCACCACATATTCACTCTTCGTCAAATCCTGGAACTCCTTTCGTAGCCCCACCATTTCTATCTTCGATCTGAAGGCGGCTTTCGACTCAGTCGACCGCTCTAAAGTCTGGCGCTGCCTCGCTCTGAATGGTGCACTCGAGAAGTTTATTTCAACATT